CGGGAGCTGCGGGGATGGGCATCCCCGCACCCAGCCAGCGCAGTGCCTGGGGCTGGGTACGCTTTTGGGCTCCAAACACAGGACCTGCCCCCACGTTCTTGGGGGGGAGCAGGGGGGCAGCTATCCTGCCCGGGCCAGGCCCGTGCTCTGCTGGGAGGGGATGTCCCAGGGAAATGCTAAGGAAAAGGGGCACAGCTGGTCCTGGGCACAGCCAGACAGGCACGAGGTAAGGTGTTTATTCTCTGCCTATCCGGCACGAAGGGGGTGAGATGCCGAGGGCTCGGAATCCAGTTTGGAAACAACCGCGTGACCTTTGGTAAGGTGAGTTGGAAGAGAAAACAATGGAGAAGCTGCTGGGCACCCAGTCTTCTCCGGCTACCCTGTGCCTTCCTGGAGACGATGCGGCTTCATCCCCAGCCTGCGGCTGGAGAGCGAGATGAGCGCTTCAGCTGCACTCAGCTTCCTCCACTTCCCGGGGCGCTCGGCTAGAGCTCATTCCTGCAGGAACCTGGGAAGACAAAAAAAAAACATCCCAAAACATTCCAGCGATGTTGTTAGCCTGGGTTTGGTTTGTCCCTTTACCAAGAAGGACGAGGCTGACCTCAGCCCCTACGAACGTCAGCCGCGCTTGCGGCTCTCCCTGCGCCCACAGCCCCAGGCTGGCTCTGTCCCGCCACGTTTGGGAGCGTCACTCACCCCCCGTCATGCCACAGCCTCGCCTGGGCCTGAAATCCTGTGCGAAGCACCCCAAGGTAATGCTGGGACCAGCCTGTTGCCACTGCAGCCGGTGGCTCCGTGACAGTAACGGGATGCTGCTGGTCACCAAAGCCCCCAGGGAGCTCCATGGGCTGGGGAAGGGGCTGCGTGCGGCTGTGAGCTGCATTACACCCAACTCAGACTCAGAGGGGCTAAAATGGCTTCAAGAGACCCGACCTTGTGCCTTCGGAGGTGGTTTACAACAGAGAAAATGTTGTTCAGCCCTTACACGCCCCCACGGGGCGGATAATTGGAGGGTGGGGGTGTATCTTGGCGGTCGGAGGTGCAATGCTTTGCAAGGCACAGAAAAGGAACGGCTGCTCAGCCCCCCTGGGATGCCCCAGCGCTCGCTGGCGTAGGAGAGGGGAGTCGTGTCCTCCAGGGCCTTTCAAGACCGTGGGAGGGACAGATCCAAGTTTCGCTCGCTGCAGCAGGCCTGGCAGCAGGCACTCCGAGGGCTTCGGAGTCATACCGTGGGATAAGTCCACGTCACCTTGCGATCCTGCCCGCGTTCCTCAGCGCTGTCACTAACCGCGCGCACGGGGCTGTACTGGGAAGCTCGGTCTGCGGGAACACACCGTGGTCCCGGTAACTGCCCCTTTCCGGGATGTTTTTAAGTGCCTATTTGCAGCCGCTCGGTCTTCAATCGAGCTCTTTCAAGTCTTTTGTACCTGAGCCGTCACCGCGCGCAGTGACCTGGGACTGGACGTGCCCTCCAAGTTTCCCTCGAGCCTTCCCGAGCACCCTCACCCCTCTGCCCCGGGCCGGACCCAGCTCCTGAGCTGCCGCAGCCATGCCCACCCTCTGGAATGTGTTTGACCGGAATTATTTAATGGGAAAGGGGCTGCCTACCAGCACAGCGTTCGTACGTACGCCGAGCCAAGCTGCAGCGTGGTGGGGAGAGCGTTACGCACCGAGGGGACGCCGCCCCCCTCTGCGGGGCAGGACACCCCCCCTTCAGCTGTCTGACGCACAACAGCTCCCACCGGTGTCTCCGCTTCAGCGCCGGCTGCTGAGGACACCCCCCCCCCGCTCCCCCGCCCCCCCAAGGGGCGGCAGCCTCCGCTCCACGGCTCCGCAAAGGGCTGGAGGCCTCAAAAAGAGAGGCCTAAGGCTTCCCAGGCTCGTAAATCTGCCAGCTTCTGCACGCTCCCTAAACCCTCCTGATGGACTTTTGGGGCAGTTAATTTCCGAAGAGCTGAGGTTTCTTGGCTGAAGCGGTACAGGACGGGAACGCAGCCAGCGAGGGGGCTGACTGTGAGACACGACCCACTGCTCATAGCGGGCTCCCTCTGCCCCAGGGCCACGTTTCCATGCGCCGACCTTCCGCTTTCTGGCTGCTACAAGCGCAGTCAGATGGTGCAGCCACAGAAGCAGCTTTGAAATGAAGCTAATGGGCTGTTTGTGTTCATCTTTTATTAATTACAGGCTGCTGAGCTCGAGGGAGAGCTAGATTAGGAGTGGCATATGTGTTACTGATCTCGCTGGCCCGCATTTGCTCAGCATGGCCAGTACGGGTGGAGTGAATGGCTTCAACCCGGCTTTTTCCAGGCACTTACATGTCTCCAGCCGCTCCTCCAGGAAGGAGATCTGCTCGCTCAGGGAGTCAATCCTGTCCAGTTGCTGGAGGGAGTGGGACAGCCGGCTGATGGGGTCTGCGCCGACGTCCTCCGGTGCAGACAGCATGAGGTTGTGGAAGGGGGCCAGCACCAACTGGAGTTTCTGCACGGAGAAAGGGAGCAGTGGGCGTGTTATCCCCAGGCACAAGGGCCACCCGGTGGGACACAGCCCATCGTTTGCCAGGGTGCAGCCCACCGGGACGGCACGTCGGCCAGCTCACGGGGCTTTGCTGTGTTCAAAGGGCCGCGGGGCTGGAAGAGCTGCTGCGTGGGCAGTGCCGGCAGCGTGGAGTGTAGCTGGGAGCGTGGAACACAGCTGGGATCGGGCGTGAGGCCAGCGTGACGTTAAAAATAGAGCCAGGGAGGAGGGAAAACCCCGGCTGCGAACAGCCTGGGAGCTGGCTGAGTGCAGCCTTGGGCTGCGAGAGGGCAGTGAGGGCAGGACAGGGGGGTGCTGAGAGCTCACCTGCTCCAGCGCCTCCACTCTGCCCTTCAGCTCCTGCATTTCTTCCTTCATTTCACTGGGGGAACCTGAAAAAGCAACCAAGAAAAGATCAGGAAAAGCCCATGGCCCAAGGTGAAGTGGACAGTGATGGGGAGAGACATTACTGCAGGGCTCAGGTCAAGCTCTCCTGCTTTCCACTCCCCTCCCAGTGAGTCCCCAGGGTCTGTCCCACTGGGAGCATCAGTCAGATCCAACACCTGCTGCCAACACTGGCATCTAGTCCCACTGCTAATGCACACAAGCCTCTCCTTGCTCCCGAGTACCTGCAACAAAGCGGGGCATTTCTCAAGCATTGGGGCGATGCCTAAAGGCGAGACGTCTGGCGAAGCCCGGCCGCTCGTGCCCGCGTTGTCAGATTAGTCAGCACCAGGTCTGCCCTGTCCCATGGTGGGCACAAAGGACCGTCCCTGCTGAGGGCCCTGGACGGGGGATAAAGGCAGGTGGCTTGCGGAGCACACGCAGCCAGCGCTCTGCTCTCCCTGGCGTTGCCCACGCGATGCTCGTGCTGGCCACAGCGCATTATTACTCACGGTACGAGTTTGAAGTGTCACAGCGCGTACCAAAAGTAATAATGGGCCGTCACCAGCCGCCGCTCCTCGATGGACAACGATGACGATGGAGAGAACTGCTGTATCCCACCCACTGCATGCCATGGATGGGCTCCGTCCCCCTTGCAGATGGAGCAGTGGCTGGGCTTGTGCACAGGGGAGGTGGTTGGTGTGGTAGAGGGTCTCCCAGGTCACTGGGAATAAAGCTGAGGGGTTCCAGCTGTCATCCCTCTCCTGTCTTTTGCCAGTCCTGTGATGCTGAGTGTTAATCCCAGCTTTCCACGAAGGGCCAAAGCAGCCGGGGACAGGTTACCTGCTTGGCTGAAGGACTCTGGCTCAGGGGCTGGCCCTAGGGGCTGGCAGGCCTTGTCGTCGGCAGCGAGGTTGAAGCCATCCTGGCAGGCGCAGTGGTAGCTCCCGGCCGTGTTGATGCAGAGCTGACCGCATCCGTGGCTCTGGCTGGCACACTCATCCACGTCTGAAACCAGAGGTACAGCTCTGAGGACAGGAGAGCTGAGGAGGGGCTTACGGGGGGGGGCACGGGTGGCTCGGTCCCACTAGCAGGGGTCCTGCTCCTCGCACAGGCTCACACAGGGTGGGGATGCGATGGGACCCCAAACCGAGCTGGCACAGCTCTGGGTGCTCTCAGCGCAGCAGGGTGGGAGCACAGGACCCGCACAGCCCTTCCTCCTGCACCAGGGTAAACCTGGGCTCACCCCGGTGGGATCTGGCCTCCTCCCCTCCACTCATTTCCCCCCCAGAAGAGCCAGAAACAAAAGCTGTGGTCAGAAATGTCCCAGCTCCGGCCAGGCGGGCAGCCTCGGCTCTCATCCTGGATTTATGGCCGGGGTTTTGGTTCCAGCCAGCCGTGGTGAGGAGCTATCAGCCTTTCAAGTGTGTACAAAACCCAGTAACCTCTCCTCACACGGGGGAGTTATTAAAGCTGTTCCCACAAAGCCAAAGG